ATCATACATATTTATAGCACACGCAACACCACATCTGTGGGCAAACATTAAATCCCATTGTCTGGTCATATTTTCAAACCGATATTGAAAACCAAAATGGAAGCTACTAACACTCGTTTTTTGCGTGAATTGATGAACAATAGCAGCACGACCTTGAAACGCATCTCATGGGAATTGGTACGCCGACAGGCAGGTGGTGTAAACGACATGTGCATAAATTCCATAGTGGCTAATGGCTAATATAAATGGATTTGTAGATTGAAATTTTACAAGCTGACACATCGCATGTCATTGGTATATGTAATTGAGTGAATTCGGTAAGTTGGCTATTTTTTATGGGTGACTGTGAATTAGGGTGAAATGGGAAAATAAGATTTTCTTCATTTTTCGGATTAAAAGAATATTTTCGGTTTAAGCCATATTTTGCATCGGGTCTCAGATGCAAAATATTGTCACTATCAGACCAAGTTTTGGTGGAAATAGGAGTCCCTAAAGGAGGAGTCCCAAAATCCCTATTTTTGTCGATCAAAAAAATATAGGGAAGCATTCCTACCTCTTTTTTCATTCCACCCTAATACCCATGATCAATAAACATCACAATTGCCTCCCACAAATTGACACTATCAATTAGCTGTTATGGCTGTCATAAAAATTAACAGTTTTATGTTACAATGGTAATGGTGTAGTTAATATGTGAGTGTGTGCATGTGTGAGCGTTTTTAAGATGTTATGGTTTCAACCAACTTGTGGGCTTTATTAAGTGAGTTTTTTACGATTTTGCCATGTAATTGAGATGATCATAAATATCAGATGCAGTTTATGATTGATTTTCTATTTTAATATTAGGTTGACAACCAAAAGACTTGTATGTTGTAATTTTGTGTGCAAAATAGTTGTGACGATGAGTTCGACCTCGTGTGAGATATATATACTCTGGGTGAACATACTACAATTTTATAAGCGATTTATCCGTATTATTTATCGTTCTTTTACAACAAATTTGAATTTAACGTATTTAGAATATTTTGGCCAACTCTCTGAGGTTTAGGCGTAGATTTTTCTAGAAATTGTTGACCAACTTTTTGAAGTCTAGCGTGGATTATTTAAGAATATTTTGACTAAATTATAGTTGACTAAGCGTGGATTTTTAAAAGAATATTTTGACTAAATTTTAGTGGATTTTTTATTTGACCAACTCTCCAAGGGCTAGGCGTGGATTTTCAAAAGAATATTATGAGCGAGTTATAGTGGATTTTTTATTTGACCAACTCTCCAAGGGCTAGGCTTGGATTTTCAAATGAATATTTTGAGCGAGTTATAGTGGATTTTTTTATTTGACCAACTCTCCAAGGGCTAGGCGTGGATTTTCAAAAGAATATTTTGACCAACTCTTCAAGGGCTAGGCGTGGATTTTTAAAAGAAATTTTAACCAACTCTTCAAGGGATAGGCGTAAATTATTAAAAGATTATTTTGACCCACTCTCCAAGGGTTAGGCGTAGATTATTAAAAGAATATTTTGACCGAATTGTAGTAGATTTTTTATTTGACCAACTCTCCAAGGGTTAGGCGTGGATTATTAAAAGAATATTTTGACCGAGTTGTAGTGGATTTTTTATTTGACCAACTCTCCAAGGGCTAGGCGTGGATTTTCAAAAGAATATTTTGACCGAGTTGTAGTGGATTTTTATTTGACCAACTCTCCAAGATCTATGCATGAATTATTTAAGAATATTTTGACCAACACTCCAAGGCCTATGCGTGAATTATTTGAGAATATTTTGGCTAACTCTCCAAGGTCTATGCATGAATTATTTAAGAATATTTTAACCAACTCTACAAGGGTTAGGCGTGGATTTTTAAAAGAATAATTTGGCCAACTCTCCAAGGACTAAGCGTAGATTGTTTAAGAATATTTTTACCAACTCTCCAAGGACTAAGCGTGGATTTTTTAAGAATATTTTTACCAACTCTCAAAGGACTTAGCGTGAATTTTTCAAGAATATTTTTACCAACTCTCCAAGGACTAAGCGTCGATTTTTTAAGAATATTTTTACCAACTCTCCAAGGACTAATCGTGGATTTTTCAAGAATATTTTTACCAACTCTCCAAGGACTAAGCGTGGATTTTTTAAGAATATTTTTACCAACTCTCCAAGGACTAATCGTGGATTTTTCAAGAACATTTTTACCAACTCTCCAAGGACTAAGCGTGGATTTTTTAAGAATATTTTGACCAAGTTATAGTTGACTAAGCATGGATTTTGAAAAAATATTTTAACCAACTCTCCAAGGTCTAAGCGCGGATTATTTAAGAATACTTTGACCAACTCTCCAAGGTCTAACCGTGGATTACTTAAGAATATTTTGACCAACTCGTGGACTATTTAGGAATATTTTGACCAAGTTATAGTTTACTAAGCGTTGATTATTTTAGAATATTTTGACCAAGTTATAGTTTACTAAGCGTTGATTATTTAAGAATATTTTGACCAACTTTCCAAGGTCTAAGCGTGGATTATGTAATAATATTTTGACGAACTCTCCAAGGTCTAAACGTCGATTATTGAAGAATATTTTGAGCAACTCTCCCAGGTCTAAGCGTGTATTATTTAAGAATATTTTGACGAACTCTCCAAGGTCTAATCGTCGATTATTTAAGAATATTTTAGTTTACTAAACGTGGATTTTGTAAGAATATGTTGACCAACTCTCCATGGCTTAAGCTTGAATTATTTAAGAATATTTTGATCAACTCTCCAAGGTCTGATCGTGGACTATTTAAGAATATTTTGACCAAGTTATAGTTGACTATGCGTGGATTTTGTAATAATATTTTGACCAACACTCCAAAAACTAAGCGTGGATTTTCAAAGAATATTTTGACCAAGTTATAGTTTACTAAGCGTTGATTATTTTAGAATATTTTGACCAACTTTTTGAGGTCTAAGAGTGGATTATTTAAGAGTATTTTGACCAAATTTTGAGGTCTATGCGTGCATTATTTAAGAATATTTAAACAACTCTTTGACCAAGGACTAAGCGTGGATTTTTGACCAAATTATAGTTGACTAAGTGTGGATTGTTTAGGAAAATTTTGGCTAACTCTCGGAGGACTAAATTTGGATTTTCTGAAATATTTTGACTAATTTCCTCTCAACCTGAATTGTTTTGCATATTTTCTCAGGTCTCAGCCTGAATTTTTTTTTTAATATTTTGACCAATTCACCAAGTTATAAGCGTGGCTTTATTTGTGGCAATTTTGGCCAGTTTTGAACTACTCACTGACGACTAAGCGTTAATAATTTCAAAAATAAGGTTTAAGCGTGAATTTTTATGAATATTTTGAACTACTCTCTGAGCTATAAATTTGATTCTCTGAGGTCTAATTGAAAAATTTTTTTAAGAATATTTCTCTGAGGTCTTAGGTTGGATTTTTGAAATCTATTTTTAGGGACTATTTGAGGTTTAGGCGTGGATATATTTTTAAAGGACTCTCTTACATCTAAGTGTGATTTTTTAAATACATTTTAGGGGCTATCTGAGATATAGGCGTGGATTTTTAAAATATATTTTTAGGGACCATCTAAGGTCTAGATATCGATTTTTTAAATATTTTTAGGGTCTAGGTGAGGATTGATTAAATATATTTTTAGGGATTATCTAGGCGTGGATTTTTTAAATATTTTTAAAGACTATCTGAGGTTTAGGCGTTCATTTTTTAAATATTTTAAAGACTAAGACGAGGTTTAGGTGTGGATGTTTTAAAAATTTTTAGGGACTATCTGAGGTCTAGGTGTGAATTTTCTAAATATTTTTAATGAATTTCTGAGTTTTAGGCGTGGATTTTTTTAATATTTTTAGGGACTATGTGAGGACGAGGCGTGGATTTTTTAAATATTTTTAAAGACTATCTGAGGTTTAGGCGTTCATTTTTTAAATATTTTTAAAGACTATCTGAGGTTTAGGCGTTCATTTTTTAAATATTTTAAAGACTAAGACGAGGTTTAGGTGTGGATGTTTTAAATATTTTTAGGGACTATCTGAGGTCTAGGTGTGGATTTTCTAAATATTTTTAATGAATTTCTGAGTTTTAGGCGTGGATTTTCTAAACATTTTTAGGGACTATCTGAGGACGAGGCGTGGATTTTCTAAACATTTTTAGGGACTATCTGAGGACGAGGCGTGGATTTTCTAAACATTTTTAGGGACTATCTGAGGACGAGGCGTGGATTTTCTAAACATTTTTAATGATTATATGAGGATTAGGCATGGACTTTTTAAATATCTTTTTAAAGGACTCTCTGAGGTCTAGGCGTGGATTTTCTAAATATTTTTAATGACTACATGAGGTTTAGGCATGGATTTTTTAAATATTTTTAGGGGCTATATGAGGTCTAGGCGAGGATTTTTTTTAAAGATCCAACTGAGGTCTAAACTGAAATTTTTTAATGGGCGTAGTTATTTTAAATATATGTTTTAAGAACATATAGGAGTGAGTTTTTTAAAAATTATTTTTAGGGACCATTTGAAGTCCAGTCGTAGATTTTTTAAGTTGAAGTGTTGTAGCACATCGCATGGTCGGTTCCACTCGATTACCTTTCGCGGCACTCTAATGTTCTTGTTCTTCCCCAATCGCTTAGAAAATTCTCATTAAAGTACTGCCTCCTCCCTTATTACTCCCTTCCGAAACATTGTTATTTTTCAACCAAATCCCGGGTGGGCAAATAATTCAAAAATCCAATAAATTGCTAACCATAATGAACAATGATTATGAATCTAAAGTTTAGGTGTGAAATTTGTATGTTTCAATATTTAAGTTTAACCACAAAAAAATAAAACAACAACAACGACAGACTGGTAAATAAACGGACAAGTTAAACTAAATTTTAACGATCCCCGACGAAATTCAAAGGAAAGGTAACAAAAGAATTAGTTCGAAACAATGACTTCATATTGTCAACTCATATGGTGATGTTTCGCAATATAAACTCTTCCTGACGGCTGAAAGTTATCATTCGACGTTTGAGTTCCCACACATCATTGGAAGTTGTTTTATTTAGAACTTTGCGGAATTTTGAAAAAAAAATATATATTTCAATATGAAGTTCTATATTTGTGTTGCTGCTATCCTGTTCAGTGCTTTGTTGGCACCCAGCGAAGCCACCTTTGATTTGATTGCCAGTGTACCGACCGCAGGAGGATATGGAGGTGCAGGATATGGTGCAGGTTATGGTGGTGGTTATGGTGCAGGTTATGGTGCAGGTTATGGAGTGGGTTATGGCGGTGGTTATGCTGGTGGCTATGGTGCTGGTTATGGTGGCGGCTATGGTGCTGGTATTGGTCCAGCCTATGGCGGTAATGTTAAAGTTGTAAAGGTAACTGTAGTCCCCAGTGTTGCCGGTGGTGCATATGGTGCAGGAGGCTTTGGTGGTGCTGGATCATATGGAGTTGGTTCATATGGCGGTGGTTATGGTGCTGCAGTGGCTCCTGTAGCTGCCGTCACCACACCAGTTGTTACTGCCGTTACTACCCCCGTTGTGACCTCAACTGTTGGTGGTTCATATGGCATTGGATCTGGATCATTTGGCGCTGGATCTTATGGTTATGGTAGCAATATTCTTCCTGCCTATGGCTATGGAGCTGGTTATGGCAATACTTTTGGTTCAGGCTATGGAGCAGCTGCCGACTGCTTTTAAATAACGAATTCGACTTCGAAACGAATTTTGTACTTATTGAATTGTTGTTATTGTTAATATTTTGTCCGAATATTAAAGAAAGTCTAATAAAACTCTAAAGTTTCAAATATATATATTTTTTGAGGATATAGGTAATAGTGTGAACTATTAATTAAATTAAAGTCTAAGAGAAATGTAGCAGGTTAAACATGTCAGTATATTTATTATGTACCGTGATTTCCTAATTATGAAAAACTTTGGAGAAGAGACTTCCAAAAAATCTCTAGTAAAAAATTTAAATTTTGAATTTTTAGTTGGTATTTTATCTCAAGAATACTTCATTAATGCCCGGAAATAATAATGTAATTTCAAAAAAAATGGACCTCTACATAAAATACTCGGAAGAGCTCGAAAGGATTTCCAAAAATAAGATTACCTCCAATAAAATCTACGCATGGATTTTGAAGAATATTTTGACAAATTTCTGAGGTCTATGCTTGGATTTTTTAAGTACATTTTGAGGGAATACCTGAGTTCTAAGCGAGATTTTTAAAATTTATTTTTAGGGACTATCTGAGTTCTAGGCGTGGGTTTCTTAAAATATTTTTTTATGGACTATCTGAGGTCAAAGCGAGGATTTTTAAATTTATTTTTAGAGACTATCTGAGGTCATAGTATGGATTTTTTAAACATAGATAAAGACTCTCTGAGTTCTAGAAGTGGATTTTTTAAATATATTTTTTAGGGCTATCTGAGGTCTAAGCTTGGATTTTTATAAAAATATTTTGACCGACCCTCTGAGGTCTAAGAGTGAATTTTTTTAAAAATATTTTGACCGAATCTCTGAGGTCTAGGCGTGGTTTTTTAAAAAATATTTTGACCGACCCTCTGATATCAAGGCGTGGACTTTTTTAAAAATATTTTGACCGACCCTCTGAGGTCTAGGCGTGGATTTTTTTAATAATATTTTGACCGAACCTCTGAGGTCTTGGCGTGGATTTTTTTAATAATATTTTGACCGACCCTCTAAGGTCTAGGCGTGGATTTTTTTAAAAATATATTGACCGAACCTCTGAGGTCTAGGCGTAGATTTTTTTAAAAATATTTTGACCGAACCGCTGAGGTCTAGGCGTGGATTTTTTTAAAAATATTTTGACCGACCCTCTGAGGTCTAGGCGTGGATTTTTTTAAAAATATTTTGACCGACACTCTGAAGTCTAGGCTTGGATTTTTTTTTAAATATTTTTACCGACACTCTGAGATCTAGGCGTGGATTTTTTTAAAAATATTTTGTCCGACAATCTGAGGTCTAGGCTTGGATTTTTTTAAAAATATTTTTACCGACACTCTGAGATCTAGGCGTGGATTTTTTTAAAAATATTTTGTCCGACCCTCTGAGGTCTAGGCTTGGATTTTTTTAAAAATATTTTTACCGATACTCTGATATCTAGGCGTGGATTTTTTTAAAAATATTTTGACCGATCCTCTGATGTCTAGGCGTGGATTTTTTTAAAAATATTTTGACCAACTCTTTGGGGTCTAAACGTGTCATTTCCATGCTTATTTTGACCAACTCCCTGAGGTCTATTCGGGGATTGTTTGAGAATGTTTTGACCAACTCTCTGAGTTTTAAGCGTGGATTGCTTGAGAATGTTTTGACCTACTCTCTTAATTGTAAGCGTGGATTTTTTAGGAATATTTTGACTAATTTCCTGGGTTCTAAGCGTGGATTTTTTTTAAAGATATTTTAGCCAAATCTTTGAGATCTAAGCGTGGATTTTTTAAGAACATTCTGATCAACTCTCTGCGGTCTAAATGTCGACTTTTTAAGTACATTCTGACAACTCTCTGAGGTCTAACCGTGGATTTTTCAATATTATTATGAAAAGCTCTCTGAGGACTCAGCGTAGTTTTTCTAAGAATGTTGTAACCAATTCTTCGAGGCCTAACCGTTATTTTTTTTTTTTTTAAATATTTTGAAAAATTTCCTGAAGTCTCAGCGTCAATTTTTATGAATATTTTGATCAACTCTCTGAAGCCTAAAGTCTGAGCGTAAATTTTTTTGGAATATTTTGACCTAATATCTAAAGTATAAGCGTGGATTTTTAAGAACATTCTGATCAACTCTCTGCGGTCTAAATGTCGACTTTTTAAGTACATTCTGACAACTCTCTGAGGTCTAACCGTGGATTTTTCAATATTATTATGAAAAGCTCTCTGAGGACTCAGCGTAGTTTTTCTAAGAATGTTGTAACCAATTCTTCGAGGCCTAACCGTTATTTTTTTTTTTTTTTTAATATTTTGAAAAATTTCCTGAAGTCTCAGCGTCAATTTTTATGAATATTTTGATCAACTCTCTGAAGCCTAAAGTCTGAGCGTAAATTTTTTTGGAATATTTTGACCTAATATCTAAAGTATAAGCGTGGATTTTTAAGAAGTCTTTGGCCAACTCTGTGAAGTCTTAGCGTGGATTTTTGAAGAATATTTTGATCAACTCTTTCAGGTGTATTCGTGGGTTTTAGGAATGTTTTGTTGTGTTGACCGATTCTCTGATTTTTAAGTTTTTTGAATATTTTTTTTCGATTTCTTTTTGTGTTTAATAGGGTCTTTAATAGGGTTTTCCCAAAACAGAATACCTCCAATCGGGCCTTGTAAACATCAAAGGGTTCTATACATACAAGACTTCTAACTGGTGTTCCATATATATGGATAGCCACCATAAAATCTTCCATGCCATATAAGACCACAAAAATTTCGTTTTTACATAGAAAACTTCAAAGATATTGGAAGATTGCTTTTTCCTTAGAAGACCTCCTTGTCTTCTATTGAAAAACCCCCAAACTTTTATTGGAACACTTTTTAACCTTCTGTTCAAAGACATCTTAGTCTTATATGGGAAGACCACTTGGACCTCCTTTATTGGAAAACATTTCTGGTTTTATATTGAAAGACCACTTAGTCTTCCGTTGAAAGGTTTTCCGTAGAAACGGCTCTGTTCTTCCATTCTATTATAATACCTCTGGGTCGTCTTTTGGAAGACCTCTTGGTCTTCTGTTGAAAGATATCTTGTCTTTATATTAAAAGAACTCTTGATCTTCCATTGAAAGACATCTTGATTTTCTATAGAAAGACCCGGCAACGCCTTCAATGAGGAGATTATTCCAAGGAATCTTCAATACGTAGTAGACCTCCAAGAACAGAACTATAATTTTCAAGAAATTATAAGCAGCAAACCACCATATAGTCCATTCCAAAATCACATTTTTAATTGTATTCTTAATTTATTAATTTTCAATTCGTTTTCAATTATATTCTCTATTTATTGATCCGCAACATTGTGAAGAAAAAATTATCGGATCAAATATTTAAGCATTTTTATGACAAATTATTTTTTATTTCGTTCGTTTATAAACATCCAGCTGCAGCTCCGTAACCTGATCCAAAAGTATTGCCATAGCCCGAGCCAAATGTGCTGCCATAGCCTAAGCCAAAAGTACCGACATAGCCTGATCCATAACCGAATGAAGGAGCAATACTATTGCCATAACCATAGGATCCAGCGCCATAAGACCCAGCAGCAAAAGATCCACTACCATAACCAGCACCAACTGTTGAAGTAACAACGGGGGTGGTAACGGCTGTAATTACGGGTGTGGTGACAGCAGCAACAGGAGCCACAGCTGAAGAATACGATGTACCATAGCCAAAAGATCCAGTGCCAAAAGATCCAGCACCATACGACCCAGCACCGTATGATCCAGAGCCATACGAACCACCGACAGCCCTTGGCAATACAGTTACTTTTACTACTTTGACATTGTTACCATAGTTGGAACCTCCAAAATTGCCACCGTAACCGCCATAACTGCCACCATAACCTCCAGCAAAGCCACCGTAACTTCCTCCATAACCTGCGCCATAACCACCAGCAACACCACCATATCCTCCTGTTGTTGGCACACTGGCTATCACATCGAATGTCGCCTGTGATGGAACCAAGAGAGCAGCAAACACAAACAGAACACTAATGGAAATTTTCATTTTGAATCGTTTTTTTGATTAAAAATCGTTTGTGGTAATAATGTGTTCCAATGGAGGATGGGAAACAACTAATGACACTAATGGATCACTAGGAGGATTTTATAGTGCAAAATTTCTGCATATGGGCGGACAATAAGGAGTCATTGTTTTAATTCATTCCATTTAAAAATTCACTATCGATGGTTTAAATTTAGCCTAACACATTAGTATTAGTCTAGTTTTCTGCTCGACTGAAATATTGAAACATACGATTTCACACCTAAAATGCAAATACACTTAGAGCCCAAAAGTGCTCGCAATGATCAAGAGGCTGTTACCGCCTCTCAACTATAGCCGTAAGTAAAAGGTATTGCCTTACTTCTTAAATAAGCCTTTTTGGTGTTCTATAAAAAGATTTTTTGTCTTCTGTGAAAAAAATCCCCTGTTTCTTGAGAAGATCTCTCGATTTCCTAGAGAAAGACCACCTATTGGTCTTCTATAGAAATACTCCCTTTTGGTCTTCTATTGGAAGACCACCTATTGGTCTGCTATTGAAAGACCCCCTTTGGGTCTTCTACAGAACGACCACCTATTGGTCTTCTGTAGAAAGACAACCACTTGGTATTTTATAAAAAAAACACCTCTTGGTCTTATATGGAAGTTCCATATCATAATCTTCTATGAGAAGGTCTTCTATGGTAAGACCAATTCTTGGTCTTCTATGTAAAGACCAATTCTTGGTCTTCTATGGGAAGACCAATTCTTGGTGTTCTTCTATAGGAAGACTAATTTTTGGTCTTCTATAGTAAGACCATCTCTTGCTAATTTATATAGAAAGACCAACTCTTGGTCTTCTACAGAAAGACCAACTCTTGGTCTTCTATAGAAAGACCAACTCTTGGTCTTCTATAGAAAGACCAACTCTTGGTCTTCTATAGAAAGACCAACTCTTGGTCTTCTATAGAAAGACCAACTCTTGGTCTTCTATAGAAAGACCAACTTTTGGTCTTCTATAGAAAGACCACCTCTTGGTCTTCTATAGAAAGAGCAACTCTTGGTCTTCTATAGAACGACCAACTCTTGGTCTTCTATAGGAAGACCACCTCTTGGTCTTCTATAGAAAGACCAGCTCTTGGTCTTCTATAGAAAGACCACCTCTTGGTCTTCTATAGAAAGAGCAACTCTTGGTCTTCTATAGAACGACCAACTCTTGGTCTTCTATAGAACGACCAACTCTTGGTCTTCTATAGAAAGACCAACTCTTGGTCTTCTATAGAAAGACCAACTCTTGGTCTTCTATAAAAAGATCAACTTCTGGTCTTCTATAGAAAGAGCAACTCTTGGTCTTCTATAAAAAGACCAACACTTAGTCTTCTATAGAAAGACCAACTCTTGGTCTTCTATAGAAAGGCCAACACTTGGTCTTCTATAGAAAGACCAACTCTTGGTCTTCTATAGAAAGACCAACTCTTGGTCTTCTATAGATAGACCAACTCTTGGTTTTCTACAGGAAGACCACCTCTTGGTCTTCTATAGAAAGACCAACTCCTGGTCTTCTATAGAAAGACCAACTCTTGGTCCTCTATAGAAAGACCAACTCTTGGCCTTCTATAGAAAGACCAACTCTTGGTCTTCTATAGAAAGACCAGCTCTTGGTCTTCTATAGGAAGACCACCTCTTGGTCTTCAATTGGAAGACCACCAATTGCTCTTCTATAGGATGACCATCTCTTGGTCTTCTATAGAAAGACCAACTCTTGGTCTGCTATAGAAAGACCCTCTCTTGGACTTCTATAGAAAGACAACCTCTATAGGAAGACCGCCTCTTAGTCTTCTTAGTTGGTCTTTTATAACAAAACGACCTCTTGGTCTTCTATGGAAAGGTCATATCTTAATCGTCTATAGGAAGACCATCTCTTGTTGTTCTAAAAGAAGACCATTTCTTGGCCTTCTGTAGGACGATCTTTTAGTCTTACATAAAAAAACCCAATGGTCTTACAAAGAATGTCACTTTTAGATCGTCTATAGGAAGACCAAATTCTGGTCTTTTATAGAAAGACCATCTTTTGGCCTCCTATAGGAAGACCACCTCTTGGTCTTCCCTAGAAATATTTCTTAGTTTTCTATAAGAAGACATCTTGGTCCTTTTGCCTTAAATATGAAGATCTCCTCCATTTTGGATATCTATAAGAGTCCTTTTTCGAAAAAAGGAGCTCTGATAGCAATTCAATGGAATGGTGCAGGTTTTTGGTATTGCACACAATTTTGTATTGCTTAAATAATAAATAAATTATATAGATTAGTAAATAACACCTTAACCATTATAGAGTGTGTGGTTAAGTTTAGGTGTGAAATTTTATGTTTCAAAATATCGCTGGAGCAAAAAAAATAAATGCACATAAACCAATGCGTTCAGCCAATTTTTCAGCTATTGTTAAGAAAAATTGGAAGAAATGATTTAAAACAATGACTCCTTATTGTCCGGCCATATGCAGATATTTTGCACTATAAAATCTTCCGGATGATCCACGAGTACCACTAGTTGTTTCCCATCCTCCACTGGAAAGACATTATTACCACCAAAGATTTTAAATTGAAAACTGTTCATTTTTAAGATTTTAAAATGAAACTTGTGATTTGTGTTCTCTTTGTGATTGCTGCTCTGTTGGTTCCATCGCAGGCGACATTCGATGTGATAGCCAGTGTGCCAACAGCAAGAAGTTATGGTGGTGGTTATGGTGGAGGTTATGGTGGTAGTTATGGTGGCAGCTATGGTGGCTTGGCTGGAGGTTATGGTGGCAGTTATGGTGGCTACGGTGGCAGTTATGGCGGTTACGGTGGCAGTTATGGCGGTTACGGTAGCAATTATGGCGGTTATGGTTCCAACTATGGTAACAACGTCAAAGTAATCAAAGTTACTGTTCTGCCAAAGGCTGCTGGTGGTTCCTATGGATCTGGATCATACGGTGCTGGGTCGTATGGTGCTGGATCATACGGTGCCGGGTCGTATGGTGCTGGATCGTATGGCTATGGTACATCTTACTCTACCCCTGTGGCTCCTGTTGCTGCTGTCACCACACCCGTGGTTACAGCCATTACTACCCCCGTTGTAACCTCAACAGTTGGCACTAGTTACGGCACTGGATCTTTTGGGGCTGGATCTTATGGTGGCGGATACACTGGTGCTGCATCATATGGTTATGGTAACAATATTCTCCCTTCGTTCGGTTATGGATCCGGTTATAGTAACTCCTTTGGATCAGGTTATGGAGCAGCGGCAGGATGTTTTTAAATTGATCCCTTGATTTTTGGATTTACGAACAATATATTAAATTATGAAATTGAACTAATTTTTTGTATCAATTGTTTTCCGTATTTAATAAAAAATATCATGGTAGAACTAAGAAGGTAGACAAGTAATCGTATGTTTATATTTTTTTGAAATTTATACATTTGACAACATCTAATTGTCAAAATCTATATTCAAAATCAGAGATGGAAACTGTTTTTTATGTATTAAAATTTGACAAGGTAAATTACAGAAAATGCAGAGCTGGGAATGCTGATTTGAAATGAGGTTACCTTTATTTCATTGTGCCATGAAGAATATATAACACAATATAAAATTAAAAGTTTAACAACTATCGCTTTATTATGGACTTTCCGTGGCATTTGCTTTCATGTCGGACCACCTCCCGTCATGCCATGATTTGTGGATAACATAATTGTAATAACTTTTTTATAACGTATCGACAGTACCCCAAATAGTTCAGACTTGAGACATCGTAATATTTTTGTAGGACTTAGATCCCAATGACCCACCCACTTTCACTGCTGATGGATAGGGGTGAGATAAATAGGTAACAAAAGGAAATGCGTTCTTCAAATGTAGGAAACGTACTTAATGGTATTGAAAATAATATTGAGTGAACGTATTGAGATTTGGAGGGGATTTTGGAAATACGTACTAAAAAAGCGTCAAAAAGTAGCATTAAATATGTTATTTAAGGGAGTGGATAGAGTTGGAAATCTGAAATTTGGTTTTAGGGTCACTTTATGTGTGGTGAGGTTGAGGTTTTGAGGTAATTTTGGAAATACGTACTAAAAAAAGTACGAAAAGTTCTAAATGGTATTAAATTTGGTATTGGGGAAGGGAAAGAAGCTGGAAATCTTGTACATAGGCAATAAGTATAATATATATAAAAGGACAATAAGTATAATTATGTGAACGAATGGAGGTAAAACCTTCGAATTAAGTATGAGGATCACGTTTAGAAACTAGCCTTGATATAAAGATGTGATTTCGGAAGTGTGTACTAGATGTAAGAACTGTAGTTAATGATACTAAATTCGGTACATTATTGTTTTGGGTGAATGTACAGGGTGAGATAAAAAAACTGCAACAAAGTCAAATGTCACAGGTTTTACTTTTTTTTTTAATTTTATTGAATTAAAGAAAAAAATGTAGAAAATCAGCAAATTTCAGAATAAGTTCAGATTTATTCAAACTGGTCACCTTTGGCACGAATTATGGCCTTCAAACGGCCAATGAAACCGTCACACGCTGCCCGGATGTTGCTCTGCGGTATTTTGGCCCATTTCGAGCGAAGCGCTCGCTTGAGGTGATCGACACTTTGGTATTTTTTAGTGCCAGCCTTGCTTTCCAAAATACTCCAGACACAATAGTCCAACGGATTGGTATCCGGAGATTTTGGTGACCATTGTGCGCTGGAAATGAAGCGAGGAACCTTGTTTTGTAACCATTCTTTGGTGGATTGTCCGAGGTCTGCGGCCAAAATGTTTGCGTGCCCAAGGGAAAGAAAATAGACTCAAAATAATGATCTTTATTGAATTAAATTATATTATTTATTTTTGGGGAACCAATATATATATATATATATATATATATATATATATATATATATATATATATATATATTTATATATAAGCTGTTACAGTAAAACAATTGGTTCCCCAAAAATAAATAATATAATTTAATTCAATAAAGATCATTATTTTGAGTCTATTTTCTTTCTCTTGCGGTGTAAGTTCTTGCACTTTTTGGAATTTCAATGTCTTTACCCCGAGCTCATTTTTCAATATTTGCCGAATGGTACATTGCGATATGTTCAGCTTACGAGCCATTTTTCGGCCATTGCGACGCGGGTTTCGATCAAGTCGCTTCTTTACTTTTCGAACCATTTCTGGTGATGTTGCTGTTTTTTCCATCCACTTCCTTGACGTCGGGCTGCGCTACCAGTATCACGGTAACGAGCGATGGTACGAGACACAAAACATTTATTCACATTTAAATGCTGGAGAGCTCTAACGATAGCCACTTATGGGTTTCCAGCCAAATATAAAGAAATCTAACTATCACGCTTGAATTCCATCAGGAATAACTTTTTTTTTCTGGAAAATTCTCACCACAATGCTCTTGTACGCTTGTAAACAATATAATGAGCTGTCACTGCAATAATTTTAACAGCTGTCGGGCGAGTGACTCAGAAATGACAGCAGTCTGAAGTTGGTTGTAGTTTTTTTCGTCTCACTCTGTATATAGAAAATTCTCGTTCAGGGGGTAAAGTATTAACAAAAAACTTCTTGTGTAGAATTTAAGACAATGCCATTGAAAAATGTGACTAAAATCATCAAAATACCGAATGCCGAGAGGTACAGCTATATGGGGGATATACGATATCGTGTACCTATATAGACAATATTTTTCAGGAGGTAAAGAAGTCACAAAGAACTCCTTGCGTAGAATTTCTGACAAATCCAGTAAAAATTGTGGTTAAAATCATCCAAGTGCCGAATACCGGGGGGTACCGTTATATGGCTGCCATACGATATCCGGGACCCATTTGGCCCATCTTCGAACTTGAATTGCCTGCAGACAAAAGACTGATCTGTGAAACATTTTAACTTCCTATCTTTATTCGTTTTGACTCTAGCGTTATTACAACAGGCGTACAGAATTTTACGGTGATCTAGAATATGTATTATTATTTCGGTGAGTTACAAAAGTAATGACGTACTTAATATGCCCTCCATACTATGTATGGTGGAGGGTATACAAATATTTTCCTTAGATAATAGGTACTAAAAAACAAATCCAACTTATCCTAATCGCAGCCAAACAATTGTTCATACCTATTATTAGATTTAAGAGAATTTTGGTCTGTTCCAGAACCAGAACCTGCAAGAATCTACTAGTTTTGCTATTTTTATACCCTACACCACAAGGTGGTCAGGGTATTGTGTCTTTGTGCATTTGTTTGTAACAGGCAAAAGGAAACGAGATAGACCCTTTTGATGATCTGCATAAAATCACATTCTGAGTCGATTTATGAATGTCCGTCCGTCCCTCTGTCCGTCCGTCCGTATGTCCATGTATTTTTGTAAACAAAGTACAATTCGCATTAATTGCGCTAAGTATGCCAAATTTGATCGAAATCGGTGCAGATATAACTATAGCTCCCATATATATTGCTCATCCGATTTGTTATTTTTGTCCACCGCCGCCGTAATATGCACTCTGCAACAACAATATTTGGGGAAATATATCAAATACAGCTCAGAAATACATTTACTAAATTTTATCGAGATCGGTTCAGATTTGGATATAGCTCCCATATATAACTTCGTCCGATTTACCTTTCCTTGTGCACCAAACGTCTAATATTTGCCCAAATGCGATGGAATTTGGCACATACGACCGAATTGAGTCTAGAAGGTAGTATGCCAAATTTGGTGAACATCGGTTCAGATATAGCTATAGCTTCCATATATATTGTTCATCCGATTTGTTATAATTGTTACCCACAGCAGTAATATACACTCCGTAAAAACTATATTCAGGGAAATATATCATATACAGCTCAGAAATATCTTTGCCAAATTTTATCGAGATCGGTTCCGATTTGGATATAGCTCCTATATATATCTTTATCCGATTTCAAATTAATTGTGCACCAAATGGGCAATACAAGTCCGAATTTAAAAGATACAAATGCTTCGGCATATTAAGTCCCTTGAACTTTAAACTATAATTATAATCATAGCGTGTATGATTGAATTCTCCCATAAAAACTTTTAATTGTTATGCAGAGCTCTACTAAATTAGCAAAGTGGTATAGGGTATCATAAAGTCGGTCCCGCCCGACTTTAAGACTTTCTTTACTGGTTTTGATATCACAAATGGAAAATCGGTTATCGTAGTAAAAACTTTCTTGCTGTTGTGGAACAGATCATATTTTACCGGACTGCATGTTCCTTCATTCAAGTGGTCTTGGCTACCTATTGAGCGCATCGATACCGTGTGTTTAGGTCATGACCTTTATTATTTTACAAATTATCGTATGCGACAGCACACAAGATCACACATGTGATACTTATGGCGGCTGGGAAATTGATAATTTTAGAATATTAATTTTTAATGGTCAGATTTTCTCAGCGCCTCTACCGCAATTCGACTTCAATTAAAAACCAATATGTATTCTATAGAAAACGACTTTACATTCTAGAGAAGACCTTTTAATTCATTCATTGAGTCTCTGAGAAGAATAAGGGAAAAAATGCTATGCCTACAAATATTTTGTGTTCGACAAAAATACCCAAAACTGTTTTACCAACAATTGTTTCTACACAAACTTAAAGCAGTTCAAACTTCATTGTCCACGACCGTAACATAAACTGCCCGTATGCAGAGTCTGCAGGAAACAATGCCAAGCATTGTCTGGTGATAGGTTCATTAACACTATAAAATCTCGGGAATGACATAACATTGTCATTAGTCGAACAACTCACTTAAAATACAAAACACATTCCAGCCAATAGTGACGCGGAAAAAAGGCCCACACACATCCCCAGATTTCAAAAAAATAAGGAAAAAATGAAAGCCCACGTTTGTGTCCTAGTTCTAGTTGCAGTTTTGGCCACACCAACACGGGCAACTTTTGGCAAGTTGGGTTTGATTGTTGGTGGAGGAGCCGGAGTGGTTGGTGGTGGTTACGGCGGTGGCTATGGTGGTGGCTATGGCGGAGGTTATGGTGGCGGATATGGATATGACAATACCAATGTCAAAGTAGTTAAAGTGACTGTTGTTCCCAGTGCTAGAAGCAGTTATGCCCGATCATATGCTGGCGGTTCATATGGAGTTGGTTATGGTGGAGCTTATGCAGTACCGGCTGTGCCGACAGTTGCCGCACCTGTTACCACGGTCACAACACCAGTAATTACTGCTGTCACCACTCCCGTTGTGACACCGACAATTGGCGCAAGTTATGGTGTTGGTTCTTATGGCGTTGGTTCCTATGGTGTTGGGTCCTATGGAGCTGGTTCGTATGGTGGTTTTGCCCCTTACGGCTCATATGCTGGTGCAGGATCATTTGCTGGCGGATATTACGGTGGAGCAGCGCCCTATGGCCATAGCATACCAGCAACATACGGTGTTGGTGCAGGGTATGGTTACGGTGGCGGTTTTGGTTTGGGTTTCGGACCAACTGTTGGCTATCCTAATTGTTTCTAAAAAACGTTTTCCGATTGTTTTTGTTGAAAATTTTATGATAATTGAAATAAATTAAACTAAAAGAAAATTCTTATTAATTTAAAATTTTCAATTAAAATTTTAATGTAACTCTTTATGTATACGAGTTCTGTAGTGGTATTATCTAAAGGTGAGAGTACATAAAACCCTTATTTGACTAATTTAAGTCATTGGCTGGCTCCTTCGTAGAGGAACAAAAGAGTTATAGGTTTACTTAGTCAATTTTGGCACTATGCTCCTTTGTTCTTTTCCGAAGAAGCCAACCGATGACTTAAGCCAATCAAAAAAAAAAGTTTTATGTCTTCTCACCTTAACTTTTTTGCCACTACCGAAAAAATTCGGTAAAGATGAGAGTACATATAAGACAATTTTTTGACTAGATTAAGTCATCGGTGGCTTCTTCGTAAAATGACAAAAGAGTATTAGGTTGACTTAGTTCGATTTTGGCCCTACGATCTGTTTTTATTTTAGCTACATAATTTCACGTTTCGAATTTGATTATGGTAATGGCTTATGACAAACAATGCTTATGTAGATCCGCGTCATATAACGTATATATTCGGTATTTTTAAGATTTTTACAGGACTATTAACGGATGTTATTTTTTTGAAAATTTCCAAATTCGTTCCAAATTGTGGAGGGTATTCAAAGTTCCGAACTTACTGCTTTTTAAATTGTTCTATTTTTTCGCGGATTTTCCCACATTCATTTGTTTTCGCTTTATTTGCACCTATAGATGCCTAAAAAATTCCTCAGAGTTGCCATTCCGCTATACTTAAATTTTTAACTGGCAACACTGAAATCTTACATATGAGCTGGGTTGCCAATAAAATTTCAGAAAAAAATCGTCAATGTCTCAGGAAAAAATCCGCATAATCGACATTTGCATTTTTATATCCTACACCACATAGTGGTAAGGGTATTATGTCTTTGTGCATTCGTTTGTAACAGGGAGAAGGAAACGAGATAAACCCATAGCTACTTTTGAGGATCTTCATAGAATCACTTTCTGAGTCGATTTATGCATGTCAGTCTGTCCGTCCATGTATTCTTGTGAACAAAATGCAGACCGCATTTATTATCCGATTGATTGCAAACAATATTTTTTTGACCCAAGGAATAACCCTATCAAAATTGGTGATAATCGGATCAGATTTAGATATAGCTCCCATATATCTGCATCTGATTTCGGTACATCCCACCGAATTCAGTCTAGAAGAAAGTACATCAAATTTGGAGAAAATCGGTTCAGATATAGTTGTAGCTCCCATATATATGTTTCATACGATTTGGGGTTTTAATTCCCTCACATGCGTAATATGCACCCCACAAGATCGATATTTGATACGGAACATCAGATACTGTCAAATTTCTTTGAGATCGGTTCAGGGTAGGATATAGCTACCACATATATCTTCATCCGATATCAGGTTTATTGTGCACCAAATGTCTAATATCAGCCCAAATGGACTGAATTTTGGCAATTTCGACTGAATTCTTCCTGAAAACTAGTATCTCAAAATTTTTAAATTTTAAAGTCCATCACTCGCGTAATATGCATTCCACAAAAATTATATTTGATACCAGATACAGATACAGCCCAGAAATACCTCTTGCAAATTTTGTCAAGTTCGGTTCAGATTTGGATATAGCTCCCATGTATATATTCAACCGATTTCGGGTTACTTGTGCACCAAATAGCCAATATCAGTCCTAATGACCTGAATTTTGGCACATCCGACCGAATTCAGAAATGCATGGATTTCGGTTGATTCTTGTTGAAGTAATTTGTGTTATTATTATTTATATTAGTATTATTATTATTATTATTATTATTATTATTATTATTATTATTATTATTATTATTATTATTATTATTATTATTATTATTATTATTGTTATTATTATTATTATTATTATTATTATTATTATTATTATTATTATTATTATTATTATTATTATTATTATTATTATTATTATTATTATTATTATTATCATTATTATTATTATTATTATTATTATTATTATTATTATTATTATTATTATTATTATTATTATTATAATTATTATTATTATTATTATTATTATTATAATTATAATTATTATTATTATTATTATTATTATTATTATTATTATTATTATTATTATTATTATTATTATTATTACTATTACTATTATTATTATTATTATTATTTTTTTTTTTTTTTTTTTTTTCATCTTTATATTCATCTTTATTATTCATTTAAAATTCTATTACAATTTATGTGTATATAATTCCACGAAGCTATACTTAGCTTGTATGTGGATAATATATAAATATGAATTGACATTATATTATTGTACATAACTGTAGACTTCATAAAAATAAATCATTTTTAATTTGCATTATTTAGACAGTATTTCTTAACAAGACTATTTCTGACTTTTGGGTTAGTTTCTTGTATTATTTCTCTGGGTAAAGCATTTAAAGCAGTCGGTAAAGCAACGGATAATGAGTGTTTTCCATAATCATTTCTGAAAGTCGGTACTGTGTATCTTCCTTCGGATCTTCTTCTTGTGTTCTGACCGTGCTGGAGTCTCTTTGCCAGGCTATTATCGTCAGCAAACTCTTTTATAATTGTTATTGAATAAAGTTCCTTTATGTTAAGGATTCGTTGATTTATGTACATATGTTTTATTCCACTTGCATTTTGAATAGTTGGACATGTGCTACTATGCGTCTTCTTGCTAAGTAATTTAACAATTCTGTTCTGTGTTGCTTGTAGATATCTGCAGCTTCTGGCATTTCCCCAGGCCGTAATTCCATGTCGAAGATGGGACTCCACCAATGAAAGATAGGCTTGTTTCATTACGTAGGAGGGGGCACAATTACCCAGATGGTAAAGCGCATATACCGATTTTCGTAACTTTTTCTGCAAATTTTGAAAGTGTGTTTTCCATTTAAAGTGTGAGTCTAAGTAAACACCTAAATATTTATAAGTTTCGACAACTTCAAGTTGTGTTAAACATTTGTCGTTTATTGGTTGAACGTGTTGTCGTATTTTGGAGTTGTGTAGACATTCGTTGTCATGGAACCTGATGTCAATATTGGTTTTTGGTAAATTTCTTTTTCTGAAATGCATTAACTTAGTTTTTTTTGAGTTAATAATTAATCCATTGTCATGACACCATTTTCCTATAACGTTTAGTTCATTTTGCATGGTAATTACAGCAGCGGGTAATGATTTATTACAGACAATCACGGCAGTGTCATCTGCGTATGCAAAAACTTTGCTGTTTTTCAACTGTTGTACCATTTCATTCGAATAGATGATGTATAAGATTGGTCCTAGTTTTGATCCTTGTGGTACGCCATATTTTACATGTACGTTGCTGCTGTTTGCTGTGCCTAATCGTACGCTGAAAGATCTACACTCCAGATAATCTGTGAACCATTTTAATATATGTCCTCGTATGCCATTTTTTGCCAGTACATCTATGAGATTTTTGTGTGGTAAAGTATCGAAGGCTTTACTAAAGTCAATGAACAAGGCTAAACAGTTGACATTTTGGCTCAGGGATTGGTTGATATAGTTTGAGAAGTACCCCAATAGTTGGTTAATATTCCTACCCTTTTGAAATCCAAATTGCTGTTTTGATATAATTTTGAATTTTGCAAGAAATCCATTTAATCTTCTTGCCACAATTTCTTCCAGGACTTTTTCCATAACTGGAAGAATCGATATGGGCCTATAATTATTGTAGTCAGTTTTGCATCCACTTTTATATATGGGTCTTATAACTGACTGCTTCATTATATCTGGAACTGATGCTTCATGAATGCTACGGTTTATAAGTTCGGTGATGATCGGAGTGAGAGTATTGGCATTATTTTTTAAGTCTATTGCTCGTATTTTATCTATCCCGGCACTTTTTTTCGTATTGATTGTTAATAGAATGTTATAAATTTCTTGCTCAGTAGCATATTCCATAAACATTGAATTTTGTATTATACTTTCTACGTGGGTGTTAAGGGTTACGATTGAGCAGGAATGAACGATTTTTAGTACATTCTCATTAAAGTTCGTAGCAAAGTTTTCACTGATTTCTTTCAGTGTATCGCATTTGAAATGTCTCTTAATATTGTCATCTATATTTTCTGTTTCTTTTCCAGTGATTTTATTTATGAGCTGCCATGTTCCTCTAATGTTGTTTCGATTTTCGATGAATTTACGGTGAAGATGTTCATTTTTCGCTTTAATTATAGTTTTATTTAATTTATTATTGAAGTTCTTATAAATTCTCTCATTTATTATGTTGTTTTTATCTTGTATCCATTTTTTGTATAGATTATCCTTGATTTTACAACATTTTAATATGTAGTCTGTAAGCCACGGGTATTCATTACGTTTTTTAAACTTTTGGGATTTTTCTGTTGACTTTTTGTATATATTTTCAAATACATTGTATATATTATTGAATAACTCATTGACATTGCTCGAACTATTCATTACCTCTTCCCAGTTGGTACGGTTAACATGATAGTTTACAGTAGTATTGTTTATTGTTTTATTGCTACTTGTTTCAATGGTATAGGCTTTTTTTGTCGTATACGAATTTTCATCAATGCATCCAAAGATTGCATAATGATCCGAAATTCCCGTCTTTATAACCGCTGAATTAGATTTTATAGCATTTTTGTTCCATCTGAGAAAGAAGTGATCAATACATGTTTTACTATTTTTACCTTCTCTGGTTGCATTGTTAATCATGCAATGCATACCGTAGCAAGAAAGAATGCTCAAATAGTTCGTTGCAATTGTATTTGGCTTCATAATATTTATATTAATATCACCTATTAACATTAGATTGTCTTTTCGGTTTATGCTATTTAATAAATTATCTATTTCTTGTAAGAAAAGTTTTAAGTTCGAACTTGGTGGGCGATATATTGGTATAAGAACGACATTTGTAGTATCAGATATATTTATTTCCAATTTGGTAATTTCAGCCGATTTTAATTCAATTTGTAATTGTTTATATACTAAATTCTTTCTAATATAAACAGCAATACCACCACCTTTACCAATTCGATTTAGAAATACAGCATTGAAATCATTTATAACATAGAATTGATTCTCTTCATTTGATATATTGTTTTTACAAAATATTTTATAAATGTTTTTATTTTTGTATTTAAAAAACTGTTTTTAATTTATTAGGAAATTATTTATTGAAGTTTTTCGTTTCGTAACTAGATACAGTTAGAAAAAGTTATCTTTTTAACAATTATTGTAATGCTCTTTTTTTAAGTCACTATCTTACACACGTGATTCAATATTTATACGACAAAAAAGAAAATTGTTTATAATTGTGATTGAGGTAAGTTTGTTGATGTTATAATTTCCAAATCTGACGTGTTATTTATAATTACAAAGCGAGAGTTTTCATTTCTTCGGGCATATATATTTCCGCTTTTCACCCATATGAACTTCCATCCGCTTTCTTTAGCCTTTGTTTTTGTCATCCAAAGAAGACGTTTGTTGTGTTGTGTGAGTTCATCATTCACATATAGCAAAGCTTTCGACCCATCTGACTGTTCAACCTCCACTCTGTGATTCTTGACTTTACTCATTATCTCTCTTTTCTTGGCGAGAGTAGTAAATTCAATAATAACTTTATGCTTTCTGGTTATTTTTATTGCTCTTTCTATGTCAGTTTTGTTTATTTCTACACCTGTGTTTTCACTTATTTTTTTTAACACAACCTCAGCATCCAGGCTCTCATCTCTCACATTCCCGATTTCTATATTCTTATCGATGACTCTTTGCTCTAGCTTACTCACTCTATCGTTTAGTTCATTTATTTGCTCGGTTTTTTCTTTGTCTCTCATTTGGAGTTCGGATATTTCATTCGTTATTGTTGCTACATTTTTGTTGATGTCTGCTATGTGCTGTTCAATATTCGAGATTTTTGAGTTCATTGTACTCATATTTAATGAGAGTTGTTTCAAAACGTTTTGAATATCAGTCAGTTGTGTAGACATATCGTTGTTGTTCAGAGATAAAGATGTTGTACCGTTTTTAAACCTTTTACTTGCATTATCTTGCTCATCATCAGCTTCTCTCTGTTGCTTAGATTGTGTTTGCTGTTGGATGTCATTTTCTTCAGTTTCATTTTCGCTATTATTGATGAAAATGTATGCATTTGTAGGAGATTTTACTCTTGGGTTACATGCATGACATTTCCAATCCATTTTTTTGGTTTGTCCCATGCTCTTATAAGAACTCTCTGAGAGAGAACAACACGGACTAAAATGAAATTGCCTATTGCAGTTAAAACAGCGCACAAAGTTTAATGTTTTGATTTTCGTAGAACATTGACTGCATATATTATTATTATTATTTGACACTTGTAGGTAAGACATTTTCACAATAAATATGGTATTCGTTCTTAGATGTGGAAATTTGTATCAAGGACCGATAAACTTGTGGTAATAATACTGCGGTTTCAAGTTCGATGCGCTTTAGCTAAAAGTACGACCGTTTACTTCGAAGGCTACAGTGTAACTGTGATTATTATTATTATTATTATTATTATTATTATTATTATTATTATTATTATTATTATTATTATTATTATTATTATTATTATTATTATTATTATTATTATTATTATTATTATTATTATTATTATTATTATTATTATTATTATTATTATTATTATTATTATTATTAATATTATTATTAATATTATTATTATTATTAATATTAATATTATTATTATTATTATTATTATTGTTGTTTTTATTATTACTGATAATATATTTTAAAAACGACATGTATATTTTATTTGTTTCGTTTAGATGTTTTTATATGACTATTTCAACGTTTAAAGCCGTTTTAAATGAAAATGTAAGGCAATTTGTGGCGATCGTAAAAATATCGTCATTTTTGATGCAAAAATCTCTAAATCGTAATTTTTTATTATTAAAGTGAAAAATCTTCCGTTTCTGGAACAGAATAAAGCATAATTAATGTTTCACATAAAATTTGTTTTTTTTTTTGCCATTGGTTACTTAAAGCCGTTCCATAAATTTGTGCAATGATGGAAAATCCACTCAGTCCAAATTAATCAGTAATTTTTACTAGGAAAGTTATCGTACACACCTAATAATCATCCCGGAACCAATCATTAGATTATTGTTCTGGTCAATCAATGTAAAAGTTTTTACTATGATAACCTTTATGATATCGAAAAAATGCGAAACTAGTAGATTCTTGCAGGTTCTGAAACAGAGCTTATAACTCGTTTTTAAACTAGAAAATAGAAACAAAGCCATTTTAATATGAATCAACCTGATACATAATTATACATATATAACAGGCAATAGTAGTACAATGAGTGTTAACATCTGATTAGTCAAAATGATGTTTTTTTATGGATAAAAAGTAGAGAAGTTGGACAATTCACTTGTTTTAACATTAAAAAAATACATTTTCACTTTTAGATCTATGTCAGTTTGAAAGCACAAGGAACCTACTGTAGTCGGCGTTCATTCTGTTAAACATCGTCTTTGATTGTCGATTAGTCAAAATCGATTTACAAACCCCTATTCGCTAAGGCAAATTATTTAAGAGGACTGTGGGTAAGAAATTAAATAAAACCCCCCAATCAAATGTATTAATAATGAATTAAATTCCAGACCAAACATGTTTGTCCGTCAATCTCTGCGAAAATTCCCCCAATTGGCACAACGGAATTCGGCCACAGCAGCTGCTGCCGCAAGTGAAACGGCACGCGAGTCTTTGGTGCCGACTGATTACCGCACCAATGAAACGAATACCAAAGCCCACAGTAAGGTGCATGAGGCCAAATTCTACAGCATACCCATGGAAACTAAGAAACAATTATTCGGTGGCGGTGGGTTTCCCAAACAATTCGATCAGCAAGTTAAAACATTTACGGAAACATGTTTAATGGTGAGACAGCCAGCCCTTGAGATCATTGATTACATTAGGAACACCGATTTTACTAAACCCGCCGTTCGCTATGTTCTGTATGGTGAGAATGGTGTCGGCAAGTCGCTGAGTTTGGCCCACATTGTTCATTATGGTCATCAAAATGATTTCCTGCTGGTCCATATTCCATGGGTTGCCAATTGGATGAAGCGACCCAAGGAGACCACTAATGCCGAACAACAAGAAGGTTTCATTGACCTGCCCTTCGATGCAGCAGCGTGGTTACTGCATTTCAAAAGTCAAAATGCCAAATTGCTGTCGACATTAGACTTGAAAACTTCCAAGGAATATGTGTGGTCAAAGCGTGAATCCACACCAGCTGGTAGCACTCTGGCTGAACTCGTCGAACATGGCATTCAACGTATTAAATTCGCTTCCGAAACCATTGCTGCTTTGCTAAATGAAATCAAACAACACTCGACTGCGGGTAGATGTAAAACTTTGGTGGCAATTGATGGTTTTAATGCCTTCTTCCATCCGGAAACCCGTATCCTAACCGATAATAAACAAATGGTTACTCCAGATCGTATAACACTTACCAAACCCTTTTTGGACATAACCAACTATGATTGGACAAATGGTGTATGCGTTTTGACGGTGGATAAAATTGCCATGACCGAGGGTTATATGGACTCATATATGCCACGTTATTTGTTGGGCACCCAAGGTTTTGAGCATTTAGATCCATTCGTCCCAGTCCATGTGGACAATTACAGCGACAAGGAATTCCATAGTTGTATACAATACTATTTGGATCGCCATTGGATACAAAAGACACCCGAAGGTTTTGAAGATCAATTGAAATATTTGAGCAATAAAAATCCGTATGGTTTGATGCGTCTAACGCGATCATTGTAGATGATAAATATTTTAGTTGTTTATAAAAAAAATAAAAAGAAATGAAGGCATGTTTTAGTTGTTGCGAAACGTATTTGTTAAAAATAAATTAAATAAAGTTTTAAATTTAAAGCTTTAAAGTTTAACCTAGATTGTATTTACAATTTAAACCCAGAAGAGTTTTTTTTATAGAGATCGGGAAGACCTCGCTTCAAGAGACGAAAATACAAATTTAAAAGATCACCATAGATGATCGGTTTGTCGCTTTATAGAGGTACCCAAAGACTTCTTATAGAAGTATGAACTTTCCTAGTTTTGAAAAGGTCCAGAAGTGTACTCCTCATAGAAGCTTGAAATTTCTTTAATAGCTCCTCTTGAAGAAGACCTGAAAGACATCAATACAAGGTCTTCAATTGCAAAATTCAATGTTTTCTTTTCAGAAAAGACCTTAGATAAAACGGGCTACACCTTGAAAAAGTTTTTTTTTTAAATAATCATAATACCTATTAAGAGGACAGTTAAAAAAATAATTAGTTTGGATGCTTTTATCATAGAGCCCTAGCAATTGGGTTTCTTCAAAGAGTTTTACATCCAATAAATCACAATTTCAATTTTTTTTCAAGTTTGTAGAATTTCATTATTTATTCAAATATAACTCGTTTTTTATTTTCTACGCCAGTGCTTAGTATTAATTTTTTTGAGAGAAAAGCTCCCGTAGACCACCAGTCGTCTTCATACTGGCTGATGAGCGCAAGCATAAATTTTACTAAAATTTCAAATGAAATTAAAGCTCGCTAGTCTACAATAACTTTAGTATTACTAGGGTGTATGGAATCACGATAGAAAACAGAATTGAATTATTTTTCTGATATTTTTTTAATAAACTAAAAATACACCGATTTGTACAGATTTAATAAAATATATATGTGGATACAAGGAAGAGGGAAAGAAAAGTATTCACATTATAAATATGATTTAAACATAAATCGTAGAATAATAATAATAGGAAGATATCGGAAAACAATTTACATTTACAAATTATATTTATATAAACATATAGTTGTGATTTAGTGTTATGTTAAATTGGGTTAAGCTTTGTCTTATATTATTATCTATATAAACAGCATCATTTGGGCGTGTTTGACTTGCATTACACAAAAAAAAACCATAAGAATAATAGAATTCATAGTTCTTCTTCGATGCGTCTTGTTGTTGAGAAACGAATATCCTGACGAAGAGAGAGAATATGATGCTGAGAAGGTATACATCATCTGGACAGCAGTTGTTTGTTGTTATACACGAAAGATATCATGTGAACTTGAATAATCTGCAGTACTGCCAATTCTAAATCTACTGTTAGACTTGAAATCTAATGGGCGGAAAAAGCCTCGGCCAATCAACAAACTCTAGATTATAGTGAAAGATACCACTAATACTGACACCAATTAAGGCACCCCAGAATAGCATGAATAGCAGATTTTCTGTATTGAATTCTGGTGGCACTAATGCGGTAAGGAATAGCATAGCCATTGAGAAAATCAATATGGCAGGGAACTGAAAAAAAATATAAGGAGAGCGTAATGTTAAATATTGTTAACATAAATTAATTGTTAAATACTTACAGCTGTATAATGCCAGGAGTGTTTCACCTCCAAAGGTGAGGGCAAAGATTCGTTGACAACATAACGTCCAAGGAATAAATCGATTCCATCCTAAAATTGTGGCAAAACAAATATTAGAAAACATTTATATTTAATTATAAAAAGTGGCATAAATGGCATCCCTTAGTATATCTGATTGAAATGAATCACAAACTAAAAGCCATTGCCATATTATGCTGACCACGCTTACCTGTCTAAAACCATCGGCAAAATTATTAAGATAATAACGTGTCATCGAATTGACACCGTCTTGAACTAAACCAGCTTTGGTGCGTTTACCGGTACGAGTAAAATCTGTCTTCAAAGCTCCCGTTCCTGAGTATTGCAGCGATATCATATCGGCATTATCGGCCCACACCCCCTTGAATATAACTTCAAATGCTGGCGATGCCGATTCAATGCGCTGACCCACTCTCAATATGCCCAATTTTTCGAGAATACCACACAGCGAACGTCGTGCCAACATACTCTGGACAACATTTGTACGATCTAAACAATCAATACAATTTGTACGGAAGACACCCTGTTGCAGGGACAATACATGTTTGTCATCGCTGGCATGAAACACCGAGAAAGCATCTTGTTTGTGGGCCAAACGATCTATTAAAATGTTCAAACGATCCCAGCGCATTTTTTTACATTCAGCATGAAAATCAAAGGCTTCATAGTGTATATCTGAATTGCCCAGTTGTTGTACAAATTTACGATAGGCATTTTCAAGGGCGCCTTCTGCTGCTTTTTGATCGACCTAGAGAGAGAGAGAGAGGGGGCAGAGAGAGTTAGAGCTTGTTTTGTTAGCCATATTTAAAGGATATTTTAGATGAATTTACCAAGTTAACCAGAACTTGTCTGCCATATTTTGCAATCTGCTCTTCAAAATGTCTTTCGCATGCACCCAAATGGTCTTCTCCAGGCACTAAAACTGGACGTGGCTTGTAACGAATATTGGGCAATTGGCGCCAAAAGAATGGCATACTGCCACGAGTCTGAAGATATAAAAAAAAACAATCAATATCTTCTAAATTCTTTTTAAATTGTAGACCAAACTTACCTGAACAAAGGCAATAATCTGTCCATTATACTCGACAATTTGTTCCGTTTCCACATAATTTGCCACATGGCCATATTCATTGATTCCACGACTATAGAAACGTGTACCCGCTTTGTGTATAGACCGTCTCGAAACAATGGACCAAAAGAATGTTTGGCCATTAATTTGGACTTGATTAATGCTAACAACTAAAACAAGACAGAAACAGAAAAAAATCATTAGAAATTCAACTATTATCCTGTATAACTTTACTTACATCCTAATATCAAAGGCAATTGAAAATTACGCATTTCATTGCAATTGAAATTGCTCAACAATGCACCGTTCCATACGAAACGTTTGTCGGCCCGTTCGTACAGACATTGTTGCCTCTCCTCTATGGCCATTGTGTGTAGTCGTTGTTGCGTATGGGTTATATCAAAATTATACGAGAAATAGAAATGATTGGTATCTAAGGTTTTTCGCAACATTTGCAAATAGGTTTCGTTATGTTCTCGTTGTTTGGGTGTTAAATGCGTAGTTGTTGGAATGTAAGGAATTAGGTCGTAGCCAGCTAATCGCCATATTACCCCACCATCGATCATGCCGACATAGAGACGATGTGTTGCCACAATCAAATAATCGCCGCCGATGAGATGTATTGTACCGAGTATACCACATATACGTCGTTTGGGTGAGAGATTTGCTAGTTGATTCGATAGGGCTGTAAAATGGAAGAATATTAGTATTTGCAGCATAGTTGGAAAAGCGGAAATGTAAAGTCTGCTCAGGATTTCTAAGCAAATAATATATTCATTTTGTTCTTTGCATTTTTCACAGCAGCAACAAAAATTAATTGCAGAATGGTTCGACCAAGTAACAATGGGCATAGCTTCAACATTAAGCTCCTGTCTCAAGATTATGTGTCAAAGGTCTCTAAAAAATTATTAAACATCTTAAAACATTCAGTTAAAGTATTTTAAGGTGCCTACTTGCTATAGAGAAGCTAGTGGTCGTAAGACTAATTAGTTACCATAGAGAAAAGAGAAAGGCATGGCTTCAACATTAAGTTCCTGACTCAGGATTATATGTAAATTATCTCTTAAAATGATCAAACAAATTAAAACAGTGCATTAAAGTATTTTACGTCCCCAACTTGCCACAGAGAAAATTGTGGCTGTTAGACTAATTAATTACCTAGGAGTAAAGAGTACAGTTACCCTATAACCTCCTAAATATAAGCCTCAGAGGTGTTCAGGACTGTAAAAAATCATCATCATCATCAAAAGGACCTGTAACTGCAAACATTCAAGTCGGCGCTAACACTCTCTCTTAAAATGTTTTAATGGCGCCTGAGTCCTTTTCCGTTGTACCTAAAGAATCATCCTTTAAGACGGAAAAAAGAGGACGGCAAAAATATAGGATGGATAGCTTTATCGGGACCGATCTTACCTAATGTTGGCCGAATTTATTATCGGCAGGATTTGATTGTGTGATTCAAACATCGTGAGTTTATCAGAATTATATATAAACTATATCTGAACTGATTTCCACCAAATATGGATTTCATGCCCGAATTTCATTTTAACTATATCAGAACCGATTTCCACCAAATAAGGAGCTCAAATGAAAAAAAAAGAGTAAAAAAATTAGTTTTGGCCGGGCAGAACTTTTGTTACCCCCCATCATTGGGTAAAGAAACCATTTTTAAAGTATCTGAATTCAAACTTTTTCCACTTTTAACTACAAATACAAGTAAGACGGTGTGGATAATGCTGAGGCCGTTATATGTGGACCTATACATACAATATTTCGCTAGAGGAGCTAGAAATTATGGCCTACAAATGCCAATTTTTAGACAAATTCGCGGGAAAATGTGGAAAAAATCATAAAAATACCGAATATCTGGAGGTATCGTTATATAGGGGCTATACAAAAACATGGACCTATACATACAATATTTCGCCACCGGTGCAAGGACCCATTATGGCCTACAAATACTAATTTTTAGACAAATTCATAGAAAAATGTGGCAAAAATCATAAAAATACCGAATATCGGGAGGTACTGTTATATGGCGACTATACCAAAACGTGTACTGATATATACCAACCATCCTAGACAGAATACAAATTGTTCTGCCAAATTTCGAACCTCTACATCAAATAATGTGGGCTGTATTGTGATTTCAACAGACAGACAGACGGACATCGTTAAATCGACTTAGAATTTGATGCTGATCATGAATATATATTCTTCATGGGGTCTACGACGAATATTTAGGAATAAAAAAGTTAATATATCCTCCTTTGCATGGTGGAGGGTAAAAAAACTGTACCACAATTCATGCACCAATCTCAGAAACTGATTCAAATATGCGTCTTCTTACATTGTACAAATAAATGCACAGAGATCTAATAACCCGTGCCTAGCAGTTCTAATTCAATCTCATTGTTTTAATTATACCAAAAAATAAGATGTTACCTTCTTCGATGAACACTGATACAAGAAGAAAGAAAAATTTTGTTTCAACAACGTCATCTTTCAAATGTGAAGCCTTATCAATAGCAAGCCAAAAAACGAATGTTTCAGACATTGTTTGCTATCGCCCCTCACAGCCAATAGGCATTAGAATTTGTGACAGAAGCAAGTATAAAGAGCCCAAACTATGCAAAGAATTCAAAATATGGAAAACTATGTCAAGCTAGACAAATTTTTTGTTGGAGAACTTACATTGCACTTTAACAGTACTTGAAGTACGATCGATTATTAAAAGTTCAGTTTTTCCATTTGGTTCCACAATGAAACGTTCTGGTGTGATGTATCTAAAAGAAACAAAGAAAGAAAACGAAAGACAAACAATATGAATATGTATGCATATGCGGAAAATTCAGCCATAACAACAATTGCAAAATGAACAGTATTTTCAAAACAAGTGGTCACCATCATTGCCATTTTCCAAAGCCATGCCCCAGCCAATAGCATAGCCAACAGAAAACAAACAAAAAACATCCAAGAAGACACTAAATATTAGTGGGTCAAGTGTAGTACTTGATGGTTATGAGCTGGCTGGTTGGCTTTACCACACAAGGCACTACTCAAGGCAACAATGATGACGGACTGCAATAACAACAAAACAGGAGCTTAAAAAAATCATTGTTGTCATGACTGTAGAAAAATCAATTAAAAAGGATTGTTGCTGTGGCCACAAATGATTGACACTCACAAATTCATATCATCATGAAGTATCCAGCCGGGATCCATTATGGCTTCTCTTTACCAGTCAAACAGGCTTGCAGGCAATGAATGAAGTTAGATAAGTTGAGCTAATTGGTGCTGATGTTTATGTCGAGCTTATCTTTTATTCACTGGTATTGACTTTTAGACTCAGCAGCACAACAACACCCTTTTTCTTGTCGAAGTTTGTTGATTTTTTCTCGTTCCGTAACCCCAAAAATTTGCTCTGTCCGGTGCCACTAAATTGCTTGTATTTATTTAATGTTGCCTTTATTTAATTCTTCCACTTTAATTTGGAACACTAATCTCACTATTTTTATAAGGCCTTTTCTAAAATTTTCATTTGTAAAAGAAATGCCAAAGAAAAACATAAAATTTAATGTAAAACTCGTCTACGGCCAAGAGATTAAGAATTTGACGTTTTGTGGCAGATATGACTGTTTGAAAAAAGATGACAGATGACGTTTGCACAGAGAGCGTAGTTGCCATATGGATGACGTGTGTTGCCGTTGTACTTTCAGTGTTGCCTACGAGTTGAAAGCAAAACAAAACGTTTTTTATTGAATTAAATTTTTTGATGACGAATATGTTTATATAAATGGCGTAAAATAATAAAAAAATGTGTGAAAATATGAAATGAAAAATATTTCCTTTATAAAATTTTTTATTTGATATTTCTTTCTTTTATAAAAGTATTCATTTCACAGAACAAAAATTGAGGCCCAGCTTCGCAAAACTACAGAAAAACACCCCTGAGGCCATGCCCGCTTCCTGTTAAATTTGCATGCAACAAATTTTTTCATTTATTCGATATTTTTCCTCCTGATTTTCTTTCAAAACTATGATCTAAACATCTTGATCTTTCAAATCCATGGCAAAACTGGGGAAAAGGTTTACTGTGCGTCTGAACATATCGCAATTTTCCATTCGGTCAATATTGAAAAATGGGCTCGGGGTAAAGCCACTGAAATTCCAAAGAGTGCAAGAACTTAAGCTGGGAATACATAAAGCGTTTATTTGGCTGGCTTCTTCGTAAATGAACAAAGGAGTTTTAGGTTGACCTAGTTCGATTTTGGCCCTAGGCTCCTTTGTTCATTTCCGAAGAAGACAGCCGATGACTTAAGCCAGCCAGATAAGCGCTTTATGTATTTCCAGCCTTAGGCTGCAAATACATAAAAAGCTTGAAGAAAAACGACAGCAGGATTTTAGTGCGGCTCTGTAATTCCTTTGTGAAATGTCACAAAATAGGCCGTGCCATGACTTCAAGCTTCTTATGTACTTAGCCCTTTACATTGCAACAAAAAGAAAATAGACTCACCACCAAAATCTCCGGATACTAATCCGTTGAACTATTGTGTCCAGAGTATTTTGGAAAGCAAGGTTGGCACTAAAAAATACCAAAGTAAACCTCAAGCAAGCGCTTCGCAGGGCCAAATGGTCAAAAATACCGCAGAGCAACATTCGGGCAGCGTTTCATTGGCCGTTTGAGGGCCATAATTCGTGTCAAAGGTGATCAATTCGAACAAATCTAAACTTTTTCTAAAATTTGATGCTATTTCCGACATTTCTTGTTTCATTTAATAAGATTAAAAATAATGTAAAAATTATGGCGTTTCACTTTGTTGCAGTTATTTTTTATATCACCCTGTTCATTTTGGCAATGAGTTATCGAACAGCTGATGGACTGGATAGTTTTTCTCAATAAAATTTTCCCACTAAGAGTTTGCAAACTCTTAGTAACTCATATGTCAAAATGTCTCTCTTATTTAGCTCTCACTTACTGGACTTCTGGCTGAACGAACTGTTTCCAGTAAAAATGTATACAAATTTGCCAATTATCGAGTAAAAGAACACTCTTATTGTTCTAATGGACATTTTAACAACTCGTTTGTGACTTGGGAGTGTATTGCAGTACCAGTGTAAAAACGGAGTGATACATTGCGTTAGTATAAAGATTCCGCACTGGAGTTGAAATAAATCCGATTGCGAGAATTCCTATTTTTGAATGGAAAATCTTTTTATAAAAATCCGGATTAAGCAATAAATTCTCCTAATGTAGGTTAATTCAATGCTCTAAACATTCTATTAGGTTTCGCAACCTTTTATGCTTGTGTTTATGTTGCCTAAAATGAATAATAACATATAATCATAAACAATTACAATAATAATGGTTTTAATCTGCGGTACCTTTCTACTATTTGATGGTCAATATTGAATAACGGACAAATTTATGAATAAAATAAATTTTACGACTTTAGAAATCTAAACAATAGTCTTCGAGTCAAAAATGTCGAAAGGGACACAACAAAATTCTCAAATTTAAAGCAATGAATCACCTTCAGTTGTTGGTTATCTAACCAAATAGACGATGGAACGAAACGTCAGAAATAATTACTGCGGCATTATCTGCATGGCAGACATGTGAACGCCTGATATTTGAAAATAATTTGATAAGTTTTACAATTATCATCGTTCATTTCAGTATCTTGTTGATTGATAGAAATAATAGTTTTTTTTTTCTAATTTTAATACACAAACACGGGAATATCAACACGGAACATGTAGTTTATTATGAAAATATATGTTTTGACATTACTATGTACAAATCATAAACAGTAAACTTGAATGGCAATACACAAATATTATCTTTATTTTCATCGTTTTCTCATCTAACTGATGTCATCGACAAATCGATAGCAATGTAATATTGATTCATAAAGGCCACAACACAGTCAGGGCTTTGCTTCATTTTCGGCAAAATGAAGAGAGCACGCAAAAATATGACATTCTATTTTACTAGAGAAAGAGAAGGTGTGTCTGGTTACTTTTCCTGCAGGAATTGTCCAGCAACATCTTTCTGAGAGAGTAAGGTAGTTTTATTCTCTTTTGCAAGGAAAATGCGAAAAGTAAACAGACGGTATTCCTGCAGAAGCTTGCAACTAATCAGCTGATCAAATCAAAACAAACCAATTTGTCCCCCATATAGAGAATTAAAACAAAGGAAGCAATACTAATTTTACAAGTTTTTTAAATAAAAATGTTGGAAATAGTCTTTTATTTTCTTATTACATATTAACATTTACGTTTTTCACATTTTGTAAAGTTTTTCTCCAAAAACTATTAGTCTTGCTAATTCCAAAAAAAAAATTTTCAAATTGAAAGCACAAAAATAAATAAACAAACAATAGAAAACATCTGATTGAATGTCGATGAATGAGAAGAAGAAGAGTTGCAAGTGATTGCAAGAAGAAATTTTTCCAGAAAGAATTTGCAAACTCTCACTGAAAGAACTGTCAAAATTTCTCTCTCCAACCGCTCTCTTTTGCAGAACTTTTGGGTTAACAGACGACTTCCAGTAACAATTTGTAACAATTGTTACAAATTTTAGGGTAACCAGACACACCTAATAATACATACCCAAATTGGCAGAAGTCGGGCACACTTAGAAAAAAATTTAAATCAGCTGTTAGCTCTACCTTACCTTTTTAATGTACCATGGGTAGATGCATTAAAGCTTGGGAACATTGATATGTCAAAAGTTTTAAAAGGTTTTGTCAAATATAAGTACATTTATAATTTTTTTCTTATACGATGCAAATCGGAGGTTGTTATATAATGCATTTTACAAAAAAAAATTGCAATTTTCAATAATTTTTCATTCAACATTTTCAATTTCAAAATCAGTTTTACAGTTCATTGTCCCAGCAGCTGTGTCGATGCGATTACCTGCATTCTTCTACCATGATACAGGCAGGTTGGTACATTTTCCCACATCTTTCTCAAACTCTAGGTGTGTCTTGTTACCCTAAAATTTGTAACAAGTGTTACAAATTATTACTGGAAGTCGTCTGTTAACCCAAAAGTTCTGCAAAAGAGAGCGGTTGGAGAGAGAAATTTTGATAGTTCTTTCAGTGAGAGTTTGCAAATTCTTGCTGGAAAAATTTCTTCTTGCAATCACTTGCAACTCTTCTTCTTCTCATTCATCGACATTCAATCAGATGTTTTCTATTGTTTGTTTATTTATTTTTGTGCTTTCAATTTGAACATTTTTTTTTTGGAATTAGCAAGACTAATAGTTTTTGGAGAAAAACTTTACAAAATGTGAAAAACGTAAATGTTAATATGTAATAAGAAAATAAAAGACTATTTCCAACTATTTCCATTTTTATTTAAAAAACTTGTAAAATTAGTATTGCTTCCTTTGTTTTAATTCTCCTTGTGGGGGACAAATTGGTTTGTTTTGATTTGATCAGCTGATTAGTTGCAAGCTTCTGCAGGAATACCGTCTGTTTACTTTTCGCATTTTCCTTGCAAAAGAGAATAAAACTACCTTACTCTCTCAGAAAGAAGTTACTGGACAATTCCTGCAGGAAAAGTAACCAGACACACCTCTTGTTTTGAAAAATGAAAAGAAATATTTTTAAAAACAATGATTGGAAGAAACATGAATTGCGGCTCGCGCATTAAAGCTATTAACCAGTATAGCTATGAAATTGAAAGATTGAACAGTTAGGATTATATTTTTAAGAGAAAAATCCAGACATTTTATTAATTTTTCGCGGTATTTATCTCATTTTAAAAATGAGGGAAAAAATGAAAACAATAAATTTGAAAGAGTCTGACAGGAAGCGGGCATAACATCAGGGCTGTATTTTTGTAGTTTTACGAAGCTGTTCTACCTCCTTATTGTACCAAGCATCTACCTATATTCTTCTACCATGACCTGTATGGTAGAAGAATTGTGGGCAGTACCATGACACAATTAATTGGGTAGGACAGAATGATTAAGGGCGCAAGTACATAATAAGCTCGAAGTCATGGCTAGGCATATTAATGTCAAAATATAATGGAAAACGACGGCTGGATTTTAGTGCGGCTCTGTAATCCCTTTGTGAAATATCACAAAATATGCCTAGCCATGACTTCAAGCTTCTTATGTACTTAGCCCTTAAGGGTGTAAGAAGCTTGAAGTCATGGCTAAATTTGTGACATTTCATAAAGGGATTACAGAGCAGCAATAAAATCCTGCAGTCATTTTTCATTAGTTGTGTTCCAGTACTTTTTTAGTAGTAAAACTAGCAAAAGAGAGAACAGAACAAAATGCCATTCTCATTTAGGTGTGCTCAAAAAATAAGGAACGGAAAATTAGCAGAAATGCGATAAAATGTCAACATTCAAAATTCCAAAAGAAAACAGTCTTAATCGGACTGGTGAAACCTTACTGAAATGGACGCCAAAATTTAAAAAAATGAGTATTGAAAATAAGTTTAAATTAATAATTAGATTTGACTGCTCTTTATTTAGAAAATTTTGTTTTCAGAATGCGTTGAAAAGTATTTAGAGGTGGAGTTTTCTCAAATCCCACCCCCGGAGAAGCTGACATGGTTGGAGGCCCCGGTTAAATTAATATTAAGTCTGCTAGAAGACTTAATGCCACAAGTTTGGAAGACAGCCAACCT